TTGGCTTAGGAAACTTTTTTTTAAAACCCAATAAATCTAAGTTGCCCCCTTACAGATGCTACCGCCAAATACAGACACACTGGAGGTTAGAGTATTCAAGTGGATTTTGGCAAGGCATAATTAAACTCATAACAGGGACCAAATCACGAGCACCTATTTATTTAACTGGTGCTGTAATAAAGATATAAATAAAATACCGTTGTTGCTTAGACACATTAGGAATTAATTCTGATGAGGGCTGGGGGAAGTGTCGCAGAGGAAGCAGCATTTCGGTTTGTCTTGGAAACCCCTGGTCATAGACTCTGGGGTGAGGATTTATACACACGTGCTGTACTGAGGAAGTGCTCTCAGGAGAAACTAGTGAGGAGGTAGGGGAAACATCCTGGGGAACGAAACACAAGCAGAAAGCACAGAATGAAAGTAAGCACAGAATGAGGGCCCGGGCCACACCAGCACAGGGGGAGCTTCAGCTGGGTGTTGTGTGGGAACCTAGAGTTTGGCGTCTACTAAGGTTGGCCTGAGTCAGAAGAGAGAGCTGGATATCCAGACTCTTACACTAAACAAGATCTAAGGGTTGCCCTGGGGCTGGGCTAGCGTTCACAGGGCAAACTATGGACTCCCAGGCCCTCCAAGCTCTGGCCTTGCTTTCCCATTTGCTCCAGGAGTTTCAGGGCAGTCCTCTGTAGTCAAAGACAGAAACAATTAGAAGCAAAATCTGAGAGGCGAGGAGAGCATCTCTAGTGGAACTATTTCCTGGACTGTTCAGAGGACATGTTCATCCACAGACAAGGTTCCAAAGTAGAGCACTGTATCTAACCTGGCAGTAGCATAAATAAAAAACCTAGACACCTGAAGACATGGGGTCATAACAAAGATGGATGGCAGGAACGCAGGCTGCGATAAAACTGTGAAATGTTTTGGAACTATTGACTGTAGATTCTTAAAATAGCCATTATTCCATGGGAGCCTTCTATTTTAAGGACCTACCCTGAGAACGGATATAAAAGTTGGGAGTATACGTGCTTGTGACCCTATTTCACCTCCACCCCTGGTCCAGCACTGAGTTTCTTTGTGCCGTTAGCTGAAAACTTTATGCCATATTTGGTGTTCTGGCCTCTTAAACCATGGAGAAATGACTCCACCATGTCTCTGTCCCTGCTCAGTTGATATGGCCAGGCTGACTCTTGAATCTTAACTTAGTTTAGACCTCTTACCTAGCATTTTGAATTTCCCACCACCTTTTAAAGATCAGCTTCCTAAAGTTGGTCCTAAGGATGCCTATAGTCCGAGTTGTATATATAAAGCCCTAGAGTCCTGGAATATAATGAGGTTGAGTGAGACAGAATCAGATGAATGGATCTGGGAGGCTTGAAAATATTGTTTATCCTCTCTTCCATCAATAAAGTCCTGAGTTACTACCATCTCCTAGCTATTTTGAACAATGTGCCATGAAAGTAAATCAAGTAAGATGTAGATTTAATAGTTATGATGATGATCTGAAAACATCAACATGTCTAAAATAATCAAGCAGACGTATTTGGAGGTAAGAGTCCATCTTGAGATAGCTCTGTATTTTATTATATATTCTGTCTTCTAGGTCTTAGAATCACAGTGCTTAAATCCAGGATCCAATTTGTAAAGATATCTAGGATCTTGCTACACTTTCTGCTTACCATTACTTAAGAAGTAGGTGGGTGGTGGTGGCACATGATTTGAATCCCAGCACTCAAGAGGGAGAGGTAGGTGGAACTCTGAGTTCAAGGCCAGCCTGGTCTACAGAGTGAGTTCTAGGACAGCTACGCAGAGAGACCCTGTCTCAAAAAACCAAACCAAACCAAACCAAACCAAAACAAACAAAACAAAAAAAGAATTAGTATATATTCAGTACACTGGCTTCCACAGCAGAAAAGGAGTCGAATATATGGTGCCACGACTCTCAGTTAAACTCTGAGTATGGAAAACATCTTGCGTAAGTAGAAAATGCACCTCATTAATCAGAATATCATAAGCATTCCAATGTTTACCGTCTATACTGCGACTCCAAAGCACTAGGCTTATAGGATGTGAACCCTTGACTTTAATCAAATGCAGAAAGATTAAAAATAGCATCTGTGTCTGGTTAATTTGGGGTAGTATGCCCTCAGCCAGCTGCAAGAACAACATGATTTCAAATAGGTCCTTTCATGACTGAATTTAACCCCAATATATTAGGCAAATCTTCTCAGACACACGAATTCCCCAGCCAATTCAGCCAGGTTTCACCAACCATAATTTTTACCGTCATGAATGTCTTCTCTTAGGATTTCTGTTCCTTTTTTGGAATCTGTTAAATTGCATGGTGAGCTCCTTCCATACCACACACTCACTTGTGGTCCCAGCCCACCAGAGGCCTTGCAACGTGTAGCTGACAAACAAACTCACAAAACTGTCTCAGTGATTTTGGTGATTCGGTGATCTTCTGTGTTACAGGATAGTTTCAACATGGAGGATGCTATTGGATGCACTGGTAAATGCTTAGGTACGTAACTGAATCGCTGGGCTGAAAAGTGTAACCAACCACATTATCTTTGCTATCCCAGATTCAGTCTTAGTATAGTTCTATTCATGACTCCATTCCTTTTGGGCTTCCCAAGATATTTATTTTCGACCTGTAACTCCCTCTCCACCCGCACCACGAAGCCTTTATTGTAATATCCTGACTTCATGCCTCTGTGAAGTCAGCCGGGCTGCCTTGTCATATGAAAGGGCTGCATTTTATATTTTTCGCATCTCAGCACTCTTTCTAAAGGAGCATGACAGACTCCAGTGGCCAAAGTGGAGAAATCCCAGCCTGCAGGCAAAGCATGCCATTGTGGTGGCAGCTTCCATGGCTTCCCACATCAAGTCCCATCCATGAGAGGGCAGTATCTGTTCTCTCTCTTTCCAGTTCCTTTCCAAGGGATATAATTTTGTCACATGGGCACTGTCTCCCAAACCAGGTTGAACAGACAGTGAGTTGTATGACTGTGTGCATGGGCAAGGGATGTGAGAGGAATTTGAAGCTGTGGTACACAGTGACCCCAAAGCGGAGAGACTTCCTGGAAACTGAACTTCAGCCGAAACCCAGGAGTTTAAAAAAAGTAAGAAAGTAAATGTCAGCTTACACCACAGGAGTAAGTTATTGACAGTGGATTAGAGAAAAAAATCCTAGTAATTATCTACACATACCTATCAACAATGTTTTCCTCATAATTTAATAATATTCCCACTAGCCTCTAAATGGGGTTTCAATGCTCATATTTGTTTGTGTAAAAAGAGACTATTAGAAAATAAAGCCATGAAATATAAAAAGTTTGATTGTGTTCCTGCTTAGTTTGTTTTCCTGCCCCTGATTTGAATTTATAAATCTCAACGGGGAACCCTGTCACCTACTCTGTGGAGTGATTTTTGTGACTTTAGAACTGTAAATGAAAGGCACACGTGAAAGATGAACTCCCACTCACTTTTTATCCTTTTCTCTACTTTGAAATTATATTTTTACTTTTAAGAAAGGCTCCTCCCACCTCTTTCTGTTTTATTTTGTCCCATGTAGGGACCTGTAGGTTTCCCATCCTCCTCTGGTCTTTCCTGAGAACATGCAGATGAAAGCAGGAGGACATGGGAACCCAGTCCAGATGAAGAACCCACTCAAGAGATCTGGATTCAAATTCTAGCTCTTATTATTCATTGATTTTGTGGTCTTGGGTAAATTTTTCTGCCTTTTCCTGTAACGTAAGGACAATGAAACCTATCTCACAGAGCTGCTTTGTGAAGTGACTGAGATGAGAGGTTCGAGACACCAAATAAGCTTTAGCATATCACAAGGATCTGAGAGACCCCTGACATGACACCAGGGTAGGTAAGAGGACACTTAGCACATGAATTCCTGGTTCTGGGACTCCAAGTCTGGATACCTACATGAATAATTTCTTCATTTCCGTTACATACTCTACTACATACAACTTGATTAATCTCCTCTACACTTTTGGGAAGCAGCTATTACATTTTAGAAGATAAAAATATTCATCCAGGTGGTCCTGCCTGTATTTCTAGCAGACAGTAGAATTAAGGTTCACATCCTGATCTAAACCATCATTCTATGCTAGACCTTCACAGTTATCTATAAAATAGAATGTGTTCTCCCAAACTTCCCAATTTATCTTAGGGACATCTAAGACAATCTAATAATATTACCATTTGTTTTGATGGTGAATGTTATAACAGAGATTTATAGAGGTTTTAAGATTCTGAGTATAATAAAATGATAGGAAGTATCCTTTTCGTGCTTATTGTATGTTACGTTGCATCCTTTTTGTGCTTATTATATGTTATGTTGCTTTAATTTACTCTTACATGTTTTTCAATTAATTATTTTCACGTATGAAAGTAAGGTGCACTTTAAAAACTATCCTTATTTCACAAACAAGGAAACGATTGTACAAAAAGCTGAGCAAATTGTCAGAGTATTCAGTTGGTGAGGGAGTAAGAGGACCTGATGGGTATGGTCTATCCCAAGAGGCCACAGCACCGTGTCCTTGACGGTCTGTGAAAACATATCCACAAAGTACTTCAATCTAGACAATCTATGTTAATACTTACCAATCCTCTTCAAGTCTCAGCAGAAAGAGCTTGCATTTTGTATCTCCACATTCCTAAGATGCCATCTCACACAATCGGCATCATGTCGTCTAAGGCCCTGGTGTGCTTCATGTAGGAAATGCCGTGAAGATGAAAGAATCCCACAGCCTTGCCTTTTGCCTTTATTTTTGCTTTTTAGGAGTATGTGTGAGCAGAGGGAATGGCCATGGCCTTTGGAGAGGACCCTCCTCCCACCCTGGCTGCAGTCAGAGCACAGGGTTGTTGATAATATATGTCTCTAATTCTAACTTTCTCACTCATAACTTAGAGATAGAATTCTTAGAGGCTTAAATGAAAAATAATTAGGTGATTATGGACAGTATCTTTCTTAGAGTAGAACATCATTTCCTTCCATTTTGTTTATATTGGGATGCATTCCAGCCAGCTAATTCCTCAAATGCCACATTAACAAACAAACAAACTTTAAAACCATGGACTTGGACTAGATTGTGATATGTACATAGCGATCTGCTATACAGGTAGCTGTAGATGTTATTTGATGGCTCAAAGGCTGATGCTAAACCTATCTTAATATTATTTTGACCATTTCAATAACTGACTACTTTAGTTGACATAAGTTACATTTATTATTAAAACTCTCAAGGTAATTTATTTGCATTAATGTTCTATGTCCTGGTTGCTGAAGTCACAGTGATTGCCAAATCAGGCTTTCTTTTTTTCCTCCAAATTCTTGCTGCTTTTATTGGATGCATCTTTTATTCATTTCCAAGGAAAGATTACATCCAGTCCTGCAGAAAATTCTGTTGAGTGGGAAGATAGTTTCTTAAAGAGAGAAGGCTGAGGAAGTCTTGGGAAGCTGGACTCCAGGGTGATCTTTGCAGGAATTCACATCAAGCTTTGAAAGTTTAGGGAGGAAGCTATCTAATACCTCCTGGTACATTGACTCTCTATTCAGGAAGAACTGTAACAAGAATCACTTTCTTGTTGATTCTGGAAAAATCAGAGAAATTGGATTATGAAAGAGACCCCGTTAGGAGCTGCAGCTTTGTCAGGGTCAGGAGGAATGCAGAGCAAAATTAGAGAATTCTCATGATGTCCAACCTGCAAAGATAAAAGTAGAATTTAAAACAAGACAGAAAAGGGAAAAGATACTGTTCCACTGCTAAGATGAAAGAAGAAAAAGGCCCCGGAGGATGTGCGAACTGAGCTTCCTCCAGCTAGGGACTGTTAGAGTCAGAACGAAAGCACCAGGAACATCTACACAACCTAAGCTTGAGGTTAAGGTTGTTAGCAGGGATGGCCAATTCGCAAACATAGATGAAATTATCTAGGGCTTAATCTGTGTCTCCAAACCAGATAAACTTTGTATACTAGTGAACTAAATTAGAGTCATGTAAACACTGAAGACTTCCTGGAAGGTAGAAAATGGCAGAAACTCAGTTAAAGCCAACACAAGGAAGGCAGTGTGAAGACCAAGTGAGGCAAAAGCTATCCATCTCCTCGAACAACTACAAGGGGAAACAGTGGACATTTTGAAGCACACAGCAGCAGGCTCTCAGCACAGTTACAAAGGATGGTGGTGGTGGCAGTGAGATAGACAGGGTTAACTTTATTTTTCCTCTCCTGGGCATGGAACAAGGGCCTAGTACATGGCAGGCAAGCATTCTACCACTGATTCACATGCCCAACCATCAAGACATATTTGAGAGTAAGAAATATCCAAGAGTTTTGTTGGAGCATCCTGATGAACCTCAATTTTTGCAACATTTTTCCCCAAGAGAAAAATGTAAATTACATAAAACACTGACATATAAATTATATTTTAGAATATTAATAATACCCTTTTAGAAGTAAAAACACAAAACAAAACTTAATTCTTCTAGTAGTTTTCACTAATATTGACTAAATTCTCTCTGAAGTAGACTTTTGGAGGAGATTAATTCAGTTAGAATTAGAACCATAAATTAATTTCCCGGTATGAGAACAGTAAGGTTACTTAACCAGTGAGAAGTTTGAAAGCATTTTTTGGTTCTAAGTATAACTGTGCTTACATACACATGTGTACCTACAGACACCCACAGATACACACATACCATACAGACACATAGCCACACCCAGACACACACATGCACACACACACACACCCCAAAACCAGAGAATATGGAACTGTAAGTAAAGGTGACTTAACCAGAAATACTCCTTACCAGGAGAAGAGACTGCTTGTCAAAGCAACAGTTGGCTGGAGACTCATTGGGGCTTCAAGACGCTGCTGGAAACATCTGGACACCCTTTGAAATATTCAGTCAAACCTGACAACCAAACACATTTAGCACTTTCTGTCAAAAAGTAGGATCGGCCCTTTCAATATTTACCCAGTTGAGGAAATACCGTTGACATGCATGAAATTTAACTTCACAGGACTAAGTGTACTCTGGCAAAAATACTGGAATTTGGAAATACAGGATTGATATAAAAATAAATAAACCATGTTTTCTAATGACACGAGGATGCTAGGAGGTAACCTTGATCTGGCTTTATTATAAAGTAGGTCATGTTAAACTTGGACAAGAAGGAATTTTGAAACACATGCTTTAGGCATCCGTATTTGTGGAAAAACCAGGTCTGTTTGAAGTGATCATGAGAACACTACTTCCGACTTCATAATGAAAACCTGAAAAAAGTAATAAAACAGTTTCGGTTAGTCACAGATAGCCTATCTTGTAGTGCCAGAGGGATGAAGTGTGCCTCAGGGGATGTTGATCTCAGCAAGTGTCTGTATGGCGGGAGCAGTTCTTGGAACTCAGTGGTATCTGCAAGTGTACCCTCTGAAAACCAAGCAGCCAGCATGCCAAAGTTCAATTAATTACAGCTTTTGGGTTGTGCAATGGAGTGCTTTAGTAACTCAGAACAACATCTGGTTATCTGACTCTTGATTTCATAGGTCAGAAGTTGGGGTTAGGTTAATCAGTTCCCTTATCTTTGCTGGTCTTTGTTGGTGTTAGAGGCTGGATTATGCCCCACCTATAATCACAACAATTAGGTTTAAGTTCTAAACCCTAGGGCCTCAGATTGATATGTATTCAGGGATAAGGTGGTTTCAGGAGCAACCAAGTTAAAATAAAATCTTTAGGCTGGTGTCTATTCCCAGATGGGCCGATGTCCTTAGAATAATTAGAAAGGACACAGATTTGAACAGAGGACAATGATGTGGAGGCACAGGCAAGACACCCTGTGAACTGGTGGGTACAGTCGGGAAGCCAAGGGAAGAGGCCTGGAGTAAACCTTTCTCTCTTAGGCTGAAAAAAAAAAAAAAAAGAAAGAAAGAAAAAGAGGGGTGTGGTAGCATAGATCTTTAATTCCAGCACATGGAGGCAGGGCTCTATGAATTCAAGGCCAGCTTAATCTATGTATCAAGTTTTAGGACAACCCAAACTACATAATGAGATCTTGTCTTTAAAAGAAAACAGAAAGAAAATCAACTTGGTTAACACTTTTGTTTTGGACTTCCAGCCTCCCTCCACCCCCGTCCCCACCCCCAGGAATAAAATGAACTCTATTTAACTCGGTCCATGGTGCTACATTACCTATCACAGGAGCGTTGGCACATGAGCATCATGGTTCTCTCATTACTCTTCAGGTAGCTGGTGTTTGGCCAGCCTGGTGGCTGTTAGGCCTCAGTTGGAATATGTGGAGGACTTGGGGCCTCTTTCTTCATACTTGGCCCTTCCAGCCATGCTTATCCACATGGCACCAGGAAACTTCTAAGAAATAAGAACAAGTGCTCTAAGGTCTTATAAGACTCAGAACTGGGATAGTATCATTAAATTAAAATACATTGCTGTATTTTATTGATCAGAACAAGCCCTAGGACCAGTTAGCTACAGCAGGAAATAGACGCTACCTATTACAGGGAGGAGATATGGGCTATTATGGCTCCGGTCCTCTTGCACAATCGCTGTTTGACATTGCCTTACTGCAAGTCTTTCCTAGAAGAGATATGTGGAAGGAGATTATGCTCCATAAATTCTAGAAACATTACGAGTCAAAAATATGCACGTTACTACCCAACAATTAGGACTAGGATGTTGAATATCAAGGAAAATTTTAAGAGTATCTATTCTTCATTAAAAATAATGGTTTGCAGGGCTAGAGAGATGGCTCAGCTCTTTTTTTTTTTTTTTTTTTTTTTTTTTTTTTTTTTTTTTTTTTTTTTTTTTT